AACGCGAGCAGAGGAAAAAGTGAAAAGGAAAATAAAAAGAAGGCGAGAGACCAATGACGGAACAGAAAGAAAACAAATAATATAATCACGCTTGAACACACTCACCCTTTTCCCTTCGATCCAACCGTGCGATCTATCCGTTTCCAGATCCCTTCGATTTCTCGCGAACCGAGATCGCAATTTCCCTCGCCGGTGGAAAACGACGTGCTCGTGTTAATAATGTTCACCGGTGGGTAGCTTCATTTTTTTTCCTTTTTTCTTTTTCTTTTCTTTCTCCAGAGCGGTCGCCGCGAGCCTTGCCGAGTCCGACTTCCTACAGAACACGACGCTTGGCGTCCACCAGCACACTGGAATGCAGACCGACGGGTTTTGAACCGCGATAAAGTATAGTAACCGACGTACGTATGCCTCGATCTAGGTACTGGCGTGCAGGTTGGTACGTTGCTGTCACGTGACCGAGTGCTATTCGAAACGGGTTGATGAACGCAGGTGGGCCCGCTCAGAGATCGAACACCTTGAGAATTGTCAAACGCGAGGAAAATGTAAAAATCCCGAGTTTATATCGCGATCTCGTTGGTTTCAGGACTTTTTAATTATGAAGAAGGAATTTTTCGTCGTGGAATATTGAATATCGTGCACGGGACGCTCCTGCGGTCAACGCCATCTTGAAAACTCGGAACGCGCCAATTACAATTTCACAGAACAGAAGCTACCGAGTCTTGTTCATCCAAAAAAAATTTTCTATTGTATGATACAGATATAAATGATTTAAGAGTGGAAATATAGAAATATATATTAGTATATTGTATTCAAAGTAACATTAATTAACAACAATTGATCTTTGCTTTTCTTTACACTTTTTTTGCGATCGATAACCTCCTTCGTAATTATATATATGTATACATGTATACATACATATATATAGATAGATTACATGTTGCAGCATGTCATATTGAAAAGGATGCAAATTCAAATAACCAATTCTTCCCAAATTTGATTTCTTCTTTTTTTTTCACATTCTTTTCATTAATAAAAATCTATTTTGGTTACAATCTAAAATATTAAATATTTTTTTACTCCATTATGTAAGCAAGGTCAAAAACTTAACAAACATTTTACAATGTATTCCATTTTAAAATGAGTAATAATGATATTAATATTAATATTAATAATAATATAATTAATAATAATAATAATAATAATATTACATATTACGCCAACAAAATTCATACAATATACAACTTGTGGATATACATATAAATAAACATCTGTTCCTCAAAATAAATGATTTCTGCGTTTGGCACGATGTCATGTAATGGAAGCAAATTAAACACCATGTTATACATTTTGATTGTCCGTGGCTAGTCGCGATGCGATGATTTATCATGATTTGCTTCTTATACTTGATGTTTCTTTATCTTTCTCTTTTCCTTTTTTTTTGGTGTTCTGCTGTGTTATCGACGGTGTTTTTTTTAATTCATTTAGTATCAGCCGGTCTCATTTGACATAGGAAACAACGACGATCTTTTTAATGTTGCATTAAATTAACAATTTGTATGCGTCTAAGGATTATGCGAACTTACGAAAAATGACGGTCTTACATCGCAATTTACGCTACAGTAATACTTCATAAAAAATACTCTATAAGTTAACTATCTTGTACGATTAGAGTTTTTTTTACAATTTTTGTATACTTATTTCTCTCTATACAAATGCGCGCTGTAACATTGACTTGTACATATTGTAGTAGATGAAGATACATTTCTTTTTTTTTTTTTGCTTTTTGTTTTGTACGGACCGGCTGACTAACGAGTATTTTGCCCAATGTCAGGATATACTGGTACATATTGCTTTATATTCACTTTGCTAATCGATTATTCTAATTTGTAACGGATCGATTAGCCTTATGTCACTATCATTATAAATGGCATCCCACCCCCTAATTTATTTTAGATTAGAATAAACTACATGGAAGAACAGATCTTCAGTCATAGCAAACAAAAGCTAGGACTAAAAATTTTCAACAAATAGTGTGTGAAAACTGTGATATTACTTTCAATATATATGTGTATATATATATATATATAATATATATATATATATATAATAGAATATTTATAATATATTGCTGGTTTCAAAGATGCCAGTTCTGTCTATCTATAGATCAGAATGTGTAGGTGTCAGCAAGAATGCCAATTAATAATATCAGAAAAGTGTCGGGAACACTTTTATTCTTCCATTCCTCATTCCCTCTCTTCCCTTTCTCTAAACGATAAAACTTATAAAGCTCTAAAACTTGTTTTACCAAAATATAATTAACAACAACAACAACAAGGTATGTTCACTTTTGCAATAATATCACAGACAATAGAAAACGTAAAGTCTACAAAAAACTGGTCTTGCTCGTGCGTATACAAATTTCGAAAAAGAAGTGCCCGCTACCGAACACGGTAAGTTTGCTTTTTTTGTTTCTAAAGCATATTTAATATATATATTATATATATATATATATAATATATATTTGTACATTGTATAAATATGTGTGTGCTAAATAGAATAATTTTACAGTGAAATGTATACAATATTTCTCTCAAAAACTAAAGTTCCCTCGATCACGTATAAACATGGCATTCTTCCTTGCACCTTTTTTTTTTTATAATCGTGGATATTTTCCCTTTGTAGCTGACTTTGTAGCTACAATCACATAAAACGTTTTGGCAGCGCGCCTTATATTCGATATTTGCCCATTTCTCTCTTTTTGAATATTTATCGTATCATCGATCCGCTTTTGTGATGCTAAAATTAATTACTTTCCCCTCTCTCGTCATTCTCGTACGTTAATAACATCTAACAGTTTTATTTTAGCGTAACGTTTTTTTTAAGTGCAATAACTTTACTGACTGAATATCATCATCACCTCGCCGCGACTTGGAAAGTAACTATACAAAGTAAACGTTAGAGAATAAACAGTACATGTTTAATAAGTTAAACTAAATTGCACCTTTTTTAAGAAGCGATAATAACGAGTCTCGCATGTACACATCTCGAAATGTATCTGAGCCAGCAGTAACATATATTACAAGTAACAATTTACCGTTAATAGCAATTGTGACGCTTAAATATTATCAACCTAATAACTGATATCATTCCATTTTTATAGATATATGTATATATATATGTATATATATATATATATA